GTACGGACTGGATTCTTATATATTATTTAGACGAGTTTCGGCTTCAAAGGGTGAATTCATAAATATTTATAGGACCTTCAGTTTCAAAGGGAAAGGTCACGAAAAGCTTGCCAGGGACGGCCCTACACCCTACGTTACCTTTCTCATCAACTCGTAATTAGCTCTCTCTCTCTCTTTTTTTTTGGAAAAATGTGAAGTTGGATGAACATTGATAAGATGCACATGCAACTTACAAGGTACCACTCCTGGTCCCAGAGTTCGTCATTGAAGAGCCTTTCTACCCTCTGGGTTGGTACTTCGAGATCTGCTCTCTTGCGTCGGACGGCCGGCGTCTGAACGCCAGAGTCATCTAGCGGCGGGATGAAATCCCGCTTTGCTCGCAGCTTCACAAATTGCTGTTCTGCCCACACCACCTGTTGGGAAATAAAATAACTTGTGTCTTGTTAAATTCCGGGTTCTCACGGCGACGAGTATGAAGATGAGATCGTCTTGTAGTCCGGTAGAAGTTTACCGACGTTTCGGAGGTACTTGTTGCCTCCATCATTATCGTCGTCATCTTCTTACTCTGTTCTTTCCCATCCTCATTTCATGTATTGTACTTTTACTATGTAAATGCCATGGTTACCTCCTCCCCTACCCTTCAGTGTACCCAAGTTTCTCTGCGGTACAACGTCTTAGAGGAATCTTCAACATAATTGTCTGTTTTAGACCATTCAGGACCCTCCGAATTATTTTATCGGTTATTAGAAAAAGGCCACGTTTGTTCCGTAGCAGAGACATACCCTCGCATCCCTGACCAGTCGCTGTGTTAGCCGCGGAAAAGCCCTCTTGTGAAGAGAAGGGTGATCTGACTTCAGCATTCTGTATGTGTCCGGAAATCCCATCACCTGGAACAGAAATTGTCAAGATGTCAGTGAGGAAACTTAGAGTGAAAGATGTTACTTAAACCGGACACAGCAGTAAATTCCGCCTCGAAATTTTTACGATTAGCTACTGTAAGCAATTCACTGACGTATCGAGTTACTAGCTGTGAGATACAGGTGTTCTATTATTGTAATTTTCTTGTGCGATAAACTCCGAGTTACTAGCTGTGAGATACAGGGTGTTCTATAAAGCATTTATTACTTATGGTAGTGCATCTGATAAATACACTCCCTGTTCTTATGAAACAACTATTGTCAGGTAGAAATTTCTTCATATGATACAGAACATGTTAGACCGAACAACACTTGAAAAATAAAATAATTTTTAAAGATAAAGGTCTTATTTTAGTTGTTAAATGGGCATGCTGTTCGCACAGGCGCGTTTAGAAGGCACGATGCAGTGCAGATTTACACAAAAAGGACACACTACCTTAACAACATTGTGGTAATCGCTATCGCTTGGCGGTGAGTCATGCAATTCCATCCGGTAGCCGGGAAGTGACATGTATTTTATTTATTGTAATTTTCTTTTGCGATAAACTAGTTTTTAATAAAACAAAGTTCCATTTTAGCTTTGTACAAGGGTTCAAATTGAAACTATAGGAAACACAATTAATTTCCCATCTCCGAAACGTCGTTTTACGTTTTATATTTACTAGACGATGGACAATATCCATGAAAATGTTTTATTCAATTGACTCTTCACCATCGTCAAGAAGTTTTAGATTTGATATTAATTTCACTGTTCGTCTGTTACGTTAGACTCTCAGTAACAAGTTTCATCGATACCCATTCAATAAACAATAAATCTGCAAAAACAGAATCCAAATCAGGAGCGCGTGGACGGAATAATGATGCCCAGTGCTGCCGTCCGGAAAGACGCAATTGTACTCGATAACTCAGCGTCTATGTAGTTGCATATTTTGCGTGAGATGTCTCTACTAGCATCCAGCGTCAGGCAGATTGATTCTAACAGCTGTTATACCACGTGACGTTTGAACGGCGTCGTACAACTGGCATCCAATCGATATATCGATTTACCGGCAGCAACGACCCTGTGGACGCCTACGGTGACCCGGGTGTGGACGCTTATACCAGGAAAATAACAGAACCGAAGAGGTGGCGAGAATCTAGCAGAGGGGTCCAACCCTTCCCTCTGTTAAATTCTCCCCTTCGTGGGGGGTGTGAGTCGGAATGGGGAATATCAAATCGATATCCACTATCCTCTTGTATGTAGTGAGTGCGAATAGGTGTTTCGCGCACTCTGGCGGCAATGCCGCATGATAGAAGGGGGCATTGTCCGTAAGTGGGAGGTCTAGGCTACTGGCCGGTGTCAGAGAGATCGACAATGCAGAGGGGATTCACTCCATTTCTAATTATGTAAGCGTCAGCCTTTTCCATACCCTGGATATGAAGTTGACAGGACTCGTTACCGATCTCTGAATGACCAAATATTAACCAATATCACGTTCTTAAAAAAATTCCTGCAAATTTTCTCTTCAGCTCTTAACATAAGCGCGTCTCAGAGACTTAATGTGGTCGCTATTAATTTTAACTAATCTCTTCTTATATAGAAGCCTTGTGTAGGCTAGTCAAAACGCTGTGGACTCTTCTTATTTAGAAACCCTGTGTAGGCTAGTCAAAACGCTGTGGACTTGTATCACTGTTCCTTGGAAGTTAGTTGTAGGTTGTTACTTGGTATGAAGGTGTATTATTATTGCAAACTTTTTAATATTATTCTCAAATTACCTGTTATCATTATGACAGGGTGCTGAAGAAAATATTTGGATTTTAGGGGTACACAGAGAGACTGAAGAGAATTTCATATTGAGGGACGTCGTAATCTTAACAAGCAGGTCTGATGTGCGTGAATTGTATTATTCATGTTGGAGGTAAGAAATATTTACAAAATTTTGGTGAGAACAAATAAAATTAAAGACAGAGGACTATAAGAGAGGATAATATTGAAAAGAATGTTCAGGAAAAAGGGTGGAACTGTGTGGTCTGGATTCGTTTTTCTCAGGACAGTGGCTGATGGAGACATCTTTAAACATAGTAATGAAATTATGAGTTCCATAACAGGTGGGCATTTTGGCCATGCTGTGGCAGATTTCAGGCTACAGATATCAGAAACGGCTGAGAGTACATTTAGGAGGAACATCCCGACAAAGTCAAGGCAAACAGTAGGAAATAGTTGTGCGTCGTGATAGTACAGTGGCTGTTTGCCTTGCACTCACTGATAATGAACAGGTCAGGACTCCATCTTTGACGTCACACAACAGATGCCCAATATGGCTACTTCCGAAGCACGTGGATCGTAGCTGCTGGTTGTAGTGGTGTTAGGAACAGCTGTATTTCATGAATGCCAATCACACACACATATTTCTTGTGTGGTGATCAGAAAGTTCTTTGTCTTTGATTCTATTAAATATTCGTTATATTAGAAACTCTTTTGTACCAACGTTATAGGCCTACGTCTTATATAATATGTATTTTATGAGACGTGAATATTAATTAATTAACTTTATATGAATTTAAGTCATATTTTATCTATATGTTAAGTAATATTAACATACAGTATATTATCCAAATCATCAACAACAGTTTATGATATAAAATTATGGTATACATCCTCAGTACGAGAGACATCTTCGCCTTTGTGGAGATAGGTTTCAGATGGACCCCTGACGATGAGAGTAAAATTTAAAATCTTGTAGCTTTGTTATTAGAGTTGTAACATATCAGGAGTTTTCCTTGTTGGTCTTCTGTACTGTAACGTCATAAGGCCTTGAAGGTATATACCAACGTCTCAGAGGAACATTCTGCCTCCATATTCAGGGCTGAAGAACTTCAGCAGTGAAAAGTATTCGTTAGGGAATTAATTTTGATTTAATATTTATGATATGTTTCTTATTTATAATTTTTCTTTGTTTAATCTTCATTATGGAATGTTTTATAGATGCATTTTTTTAGAACGTGGGACATACCAATATGTGTCCCACGGAATAAATTAGCGTGATTTTTATATATTTATTTGGAGAATATTCCAAGAAGCTGGAAGTTGATTCAACAGTACTGTGATGGACACGAAACTGGTCGACGTTTCGCAAACCTCGACGTTGTTTACGAAGACAGTGCGGTAGTCTTCTGCTAACCACGGATTTCAATTCCCGTATCCGCATTTTAGCATTTACTTCTATATTTGTCAATCGCGGTTTTCAGTTTCGTTGTGCACGTCAAAAAATCGACGATTTTCAGAAAGGCAACCCCCCTTCGTCTGGCTAGAAATTTCTGTAAAGGCAACCCCCTTCGTCTGGCTAGAAATTTCTGTTTACAGCTCAGCCCACTCTTGCACGCCTAATGGTAATTAGGGCTTTAACACGACTCGAAGCTGACCCACAGAATCGAATGAAGCAGAAACAGGATATGTTTTACAGTGTAACACGGCCTCCACCCCTCCCCTCTCGCCCCCTTACCTACTATACGCGATTGGGGCCATTCGTCATTGCTTCGTTCTGTACAAAGCTCCGTTCGTAATACCTCACTAATGAATACAGATGTTCACCAACTGTGCATGTATTGACATTAACTCTGCCAACATATATCAACACCATGAAGTGAACGGGGACGGAGACATGGGTTTGAATCCTTGCTAATGTCACGGTGTTCTGTCTGCGTCGAAAATTGGCGGAAGGGCCCACGAGCCCAAACACTTAGTTTCACCCAAAACCCATCAGGACACTGACATTCTGCTTTTCAAGAACTCCGCTCCTTACAGCATGAGACATCACGGTAAATATTAAAAGTTTACAGACTGACGTCCTATTTAACGTCAGCAGAATTACGAAGTGGGGTGTAAAATGGGAATAAGGGCGAGAACAGTAACATCGAAGAGGTTGTGGTACCTCTGACATGGGAGAGACAGGAAATTCGTATAGAATTTTGCTAGGGAGGCGTTTTAAGAGATGATCGCTTTTAAAACAGAAAATGATGGGTGTATAATATTAAAATAGACGTTTATGGAGGTATATTGTGAGAAATGTGAGCGAAAGTGATTTAGGATCCATCCAGTGGCTGAAACAAATTGGTTAGAATTGGGACATATGTGATCATTATTTTTTTGATAGCGTTAGTTTGACTTGCCGCTGGAGAAACTTACGAACAAGGCGTTGTTTAGACATGAAATTCCCTGTGCTATGAATAATGTAGAAACGGTAAACCGTTATGATTCGTGATAAAATAATTTTCCTATTCTGCAAATTTATAATCTAGTCTCATTATATGTGATTCTCAATGTAAAATGGAAATTACAGCGTAACTATTGCTTTTAACATTCTTATCAAATGGATGAAAAATCAATACAGTTGATTTGAAATTTGAATATTTAAAAGTTACTATTTTCTCTATCTTAAAATGGTCTACGACGATATCCACAAATGTTTTTTACTCGACGGTTTCTTAATTAGTCCTACACATCATTTATATTAACCCTTCCACTATAACTGTATAATCGATGATTCTGAGAAACTGTCGTTAAATAAACACATGTTCAAAGCTGCGATGTTAAAAATTGTGCCTGTCCATGCCAAGAAAGCGTACTTTAGTAGGAGTGCCTAAACGGAACAGATTTATTTTGGGGAGGATGATATTAAAATGGATTTAAAACAAGTGGTTTTAACATGGGTCAAGAAATGGGTTTTTGCGAACAGGGTAATGAAACTTTGGATTTCGTAAGAGGCTGAGAATTTCTTGACTAAATTAGGTTATGTCAGCTTTTCAAGGACGAGTCTGTTCCATTTGACATTCTAAATACGTTCGTTGCGCATTTACGTCACTGTATTGGAACTATGGTGTTCCCATATCATTTATTGACAAAGACAATCAATATCAAACTAAACACTAAACCATACCGCATGGAATCGTAATTATTTCTGCTGTTGACAGAGATAATCAGTCACTCTTTA